TAGTTGAAAATGAATTTAAAAAAAAAAAAAAGGGAAAGGAAGGGGAGGGGAGGGGGGGGGGGGGCTCGAAACACGCTTAGTTTGCTTTAGAATTGAGAATTGAATTTAAATTTTGTTAAATAAGTAACCAATTGAAAGCTTACTTGACTACTTACTTAGCAAATTAATTGACAAATAATTAGACTATCATCACATCACTATTTCCGTTAGTTAAAGTAGATTGATCAATACGCGGAATTCATATGACTTCAAAACTTCGTTTTCTCATAGATATTGTGTCCCTTACACATTACTTATTTTCTGAAAACAAAAACCTTCATTGTTTACAAAAGGCACTAATTTGGTGAAAAAGTAAAAAATAATTATTTAACTTTTAGTCCTTTATAAAAACATTTTTTCAACGTACAAAAAAGTATATTGAGTACATTACGCATGTGACTCAACCAATGAGACCACAAATTTCCACAAACGGGAATTACTTGCAACTGTCGGAATGGTTTAGGGCCAAACCATGTGTATACTTTTATAAATTAAGCCATCGTCAAATGTTACATTCGGCCGCCCAAAGTAAAAAATTACATTAAAACTTCTATAAAATAATAATGGTGGAGTCGATAAAAATTAACATTGTAGAGGAGTTATTACTTTATCGATAAATGAATAATTTATTAATTTGTTGATAAATGAATATTTATCAATTTATAGAGTATTTTGTTTTTAAAGGATACTCAATACACCTATCAATGATGATTATGATCTATATGATAGATGTGTTTTTACCAACTGTTGTTTCAAAAGAGGCATTTTGAGTAGTTGTAACATTAAATAATTACTTTGGGCAAAATTAAAAAAAATATGTTAAATATAGTATGTGCATTGCAAAAAATTAGAGATGAAGTTGAGTTCGCTTTGGATGCAGAGAAAAAGCCAGAGACTTTTAAATGTACATATTGTAAAAGAGGCGAATTGAAAAAATATTGTCAGATTTAAAGTTTGTTAATTTGTATTAATATGAACATTGTGATTTTAAACAGCTATTATTTTATATATTTGTTGGACCTTAATGGATCTCAAAAAAATTATTATCTTATAAATTTTAGCAGGATTATTAATTTAGTACACTAGCCCAAAGTCGAGATTGAATAATTTTATTATTTATGCGAAATTATTAATTTATCTAATATTCATTTATCGAAATTTTAATGTAAATTGCCTAAAGTCATGCCAAATTTGACTTAAGTTTAACTAGAAGATGAAGATATATAAATATGTTTTATGAGAATTATTATTGGTTTACGCATCTGATTCTAGAGAAAGGATCAC